CACCCAGGTCGACTTATAAATGCCACGTAGAGGCCAGGATGCAAGGACAATGGTATACAGTGGCTTACAAACTCTTCCATTGTCCTCAGCAAAGATATTCCGAGAACTGTTGCTCGTGGCTAACATTAACTAAAGGTGACACATGATGCTTTGTCACATTTTATCAGTGACCTATAACAAATGTTCACATCTTATGCTGTCAAACTTTAACTCACTAAATGAGTGTAAAAGCGTCTCTGGAATACCAATATTTCAACACTAATATTTTCCAACTCTTGTACTTGAGCTGCCCTCGAACCAGAGCTTACTGTGAAAATGTAGAAGCCAAAACCCATTGCCATACAGCAATAATTATGGTTTCATTTAGTGCCCCTGGGGCATCATCAGGGAATTTCTTATTAGGCCTAACCTCCTGTTCCTATGCAGAATTTGTAAAGCATGGGTGGTTCTGCTATGGGTTGTCCTTCATCAGGCTCTGAATCTCTGGGGACATTCTAAAATTCTGGAGATTCAGGTGCACTACTGTCCTCTCTCCAAGGGTCAGAGTCCAAAGGAAGAAAAGGTAGGGTAGCCTTAGGGGTCAAACTGCTGTCTGGCTCAGCTGACACGCAGTTCTGGGCCTCTAAAATTCCAACAGCAGGTAATACAGACTCAGGAGCATCTGGATCCTGCAAGCTGAAATGCTGCTTTCCTGGATAGACACTCATCTTTAGAGTCAGTGGAAACTAGAGTTTGCTGGCTGAAATGTCAATGAATCAATTTGTGCGGATGGTACACTCTGCAGTTGATGACTGTCCTCCCCCCAAATATAGTTTAAAATGTCTTTTTTTTAAATCGGCTTTGCAGGACCTGGCCAGCGGGCAAAAAGTTATTTTGATTTAAAGTTTTGATAGGTCCTGAACCATCTTCACATTTGACTTTATACACTGGCAGTTCAGACAATTTTTCTCCAGATACATAACTGTGTTGTCCATCCAGCTAAGTTCTTGTGTGTATTTGGATTACCCATGTTTCTTATGAATACCTGGGCCTCTCAGAGTAACTCCTGAGCTCTAACCCAAGAATTATATCAGGTCTTATTAGCTTATCCCCTTTTAGAGGCTGCTTCTGTAGCAATTCTATAGGACTCTTGTAATTTCTGTTTTAATTTGAGAGTATAATGAAAGAAATTGTCTGAGGATGCTCCATCAGCTGAGACCCCAAACCACAGGTTGGCTGGCAGACAAGCTTCTTACCCAAATATAAGAAAATAGAATGAGAAGCTGGTTGCATCAAGTCTTGTGCAGTTATATACATCCTTGGAAACTAAAGTGCTTATTCCACTTCTGCTTTTATTCTGCACAAATCCTCTGTGTGAAGACTGTGATCACTAAAATCAACATCCTGACCCCTGTCATTTCTATTCAACAAACTGTGGGCCCGAAATCTGCTGGTGACAGAGAAGATCAGTATACTGAAGGGGCTGATGGACGGTGGAAGTATTAAGAGTGTTTTGGGACTGCTCATGCTAAGACCTTACACCATGGAGTTGGGAGTTAATAGTCTCATTCTGTAAAGCTCTGGGCTGGGGTAACAACACCAGGGATACTGCTTTCAGTTACAGTGCCTCAATCCTAGGGAGATATTTAAAAACTGGAGGGAATTCAGGGAAGAACAACAAAACGATCAGGAGGCTAAAGGGATGGGTATAGGAGTAGAGATTGAAAGATCAAAATAAGTGACAACTAAGTTGGAGGATATGGTACCTAGAAATTTCTGAAGGGTGTAAACACCAAGAAGAGAGAGAAATGGAATGAAAGGGCACCTGTGACTGATATATTTTGTATATTTCAACTATGATTTCAGAGTTAACAGCCCCTGAGGTGAATGGGAAAGTTCATACTTCTCTTAAGGGCCTGAATGAGAAAGAAGAGTCTTGTTTACATTGGCCATAAATTAGCCAGCTGTGATTACTTTGAACCTAACAGGCATTTGCAGAAGATTGATCATACATGCTGGTTTAGAACATTTCCCATTGGGATGTTATGTGACTCTTAACTTATTATATTTAACTTATAGATTTTCCGGAGTCCCCCGTGAGGCTTAAAACTCTAGTTGCTACAGGATTTTAAGACATTCTTAAGACATTTGATGGCCCAAAAGGCCATCAAACAGTATTCAGTGCAACTCTGAGATTAGAAAATAAAATAATGTTGAGAATACAATTCAATTAATTAATTCATCAGGTTTTGCCTTCCTGAATATACAGCCTCCCCCCTGTATAATTATGTCACTAAATGAAATACAATTCAATTAATACAATTCAAATTCAAAATGAAATACAATTCAATTAATTAATTCATCAGGATATTAATTCATTAGGTTTTGCCTTCCTGAATATACAGCCTCCCCCCTGTATAATTATGTCACGAAATTAAACAGTAAAACATAATCTGAGTGAGACACTGAATGTTTCAAATGCTTCTCACATCATGGGTTTTGGTTTCAGTGCAACACATGTGCTTGTTAGAACCCGCTGAGTTTTGCCTGTAAATATGTAAGAGAAGCTTGTTAATAAGGTCAGTAGTGGGCTTTCACATTTTTACTGTTTTATTTTAACGGTATCAGCATCTTCTCATGACATTGCAGAAAGCATCCCAGGTCAGTGAGCTGGAAGCTAACATGCTGAGGAAGCAAATATAGCCGTAGGAGCTTGCTATTTGTTTTGTTGCTGGTGAAGGTGAGGGAGTAGAGGAGAGAGGCCAATCTGTTCATGAATGTCAGGCTGTCCTAGAGGGGCATACTAATGGGCTCCATATCTCCCTTTTTCTGGTGTAAAGCTGAGGAAACTCTTGACCTCTAAAGATCAGTGGACTTTATTCCTTCTGCTGCATCGTCTCCTCTTTGTGGGCGACAGGAGCTGTACAGAAAAACTAGGGAGTTTTGTGCTGCCACCACTTCCTGCAGCAGCCTGAGATCCACAGCTATGAACTCCCCTAATCCCATGGATCTCAGTGGTGGAAGTATACTGCATAGTGTGGTTCTTGGCATCTACAAGCAATGGCAACATGGCTGACTTCTTGCTACGCTTCCACGGGCCTCATCCCAGCCACCTCTGATCATGTGATCTATGCCGTGTGGTGGTCACATGGTGCATAGCAGAATTTAATGCTGCTTTGACTGGAACATAGACAATTATTAATTGTTATGTAGGAAAAGTAGAGACACATCCACATAAACCAAACCAGACACAATAAACAGAGAAAATAGCTTTTTGTTGTTGCTCTGGGTAATAAGGAACCAAAGTAACTTCTGGGTTTTTTTTGTTTCTCAGCTCTCTCTGTCTTTTCTTTATTTATAGTATCCTTGGGCAATATTTTTCTCTGACTTCCTCACATGCCTGAATTCCTCCTGTTAGACCAAGACCAGTCAGACTAGTCTCTGGACTAGAAGAATGGTAAAAATACTCTAGAATTCATGGTAGTTTCTTTATTCATTCCCCTGAATTGGAGTTTGCCATAGAGTTTTAAATGCCTCATTCTTTACTCTGTCTACAACAGAGATATCAGATAACCAGCTCAGCAACTTCAAATTCTCCACTGTCCTGGGCAAAAGATTTTTGAAAAGATAAATTCCTAAAGAGCTTAATAGAAGAAGGTATGAGAAAGGAAAAACTTAACTGTGTAGCAATCGTTCATCCTGAATTTCAGCTGCTGCGGGCCAAGCACGAGTCCACAATACAGATATATGCAATCAAAGCTTTTAAAATATCAGCTGTCCTGGCCAGATGTAGCACTGAAAGGTCAACTGGAAGCAAATCAGCAGCTGTGCTATGAGAAAATATGGATGTTTCCTCTAAGCAGAATCAGGAATTTGACTTTATCACATAGCTGATACCTAGATATTACAAGATTAGTGCCCTCTAAATACCAAGGATGGATTAATACAGAAGGAATAAACCAACTCTGCTGGTTTGCAGACTCACTTTCAAGAAGCACATACTGGAAGCCATCAGTCAGAAGCAGAACCCATTTATAATACAGCTTTTTGGTTGTTTCCAAACTGCTGAGCATGTGAGCATGTGGAATGAGCTTGGAATATGCTTCTGGCGGGACACTTCTGATCTCTGCTCAGTTTGGGCTCTTCTCTGAGTTACGGGCTATAAAAGTGTCTTTTGGATACAGCTCCTCTGTGCCATTAAATATTTGGAGGTTCTGATGGAAACTAAACAATATGCTGAGAACTAGTTTTCTCAAAGGAAAAACGTCTCCTGGAAGATGGGCTTCCCCTATGAGCATTAGATTCCATTAGCTGTCCCTGGCATGTGCCTTTTATGCACTAAAAATCTCTCCATAGCCCTCATGATAAACCAGATATATTTTTCTGACCTTATTTGGGTCATACTGTGTAGTCAACAACAATACAAATGTAGGCATCTATCCTATAATCCTTATGCAGGCAAAGCTTCCACTGCCTTCAAAGAAAGTATAGCTTGTGCATAGAGGGCAAGATCCAGCCCTCACAGGATAATCAGATTAAACCAAAATACAAGTAGCTTTAAAGCATGAAATTGCTGGTTGATATTTTTAGGTGCTATTTCCATGGAAAAAATCCTTCTGGGAGCCCCCCAAAATGCTAGGTCAATGACTGGGTGATTGAATGGGACAGATTTAATTAACCAACAGCATCAGAGCTTTGGTGTCTTCTTTGCCACCTTGGACTTTTGTGTAAAGCTTTGTCTGGTAGCCTTAAGATTGTGTCAGACAGTTCTACAGCCTCCCATCTCTTTCAGCCCTAGGGCCCAATCCTGCTCCCAGTGATCGTCCATTAACAAATCTTCCATTGCACAACAAACTGTGAAACTCCCATTGATTTCTTTGGGAGCAAGCTCAGATCCAATAAGACATCTCTACATTCCTTTTGTAAGAAGACTTCTAAATCCTGATGTTTCTGACCAGGCTGCTGAGATTCCCTCATCCCTCATGGGATAATTCTGTGTGATTTAAAGCAGGATTTTGCAACCTGCAAATCAAAGGTTGAAAAGTGTTGAGATGGATTTGTTGCCTTTCACTATTTGAACAGCTCTGTGCAACCTGCATTGTCCTGGGCATCCAGTATCTGCATGAAAATAAGACTATTTATGGGGAACCATAAGAAGGGAACTGAAATTTCCAAGTATTCCCCTTCAATAGGGATTTCCTTGCCTATTTCCATCAGCTGGGAGGAGACTGGGGATCAGGAAGGTATAGTTCTTCCAAACTGTGGAGCAAAGGGATCTGTGTGGATCTTTGGCCCCATCTCCTTAGGTCTCAGAATCTCTGTAATGCATCCTTGTAACAGTGGTTCTTGGGGACTTCTGCTCTCCATAAGAATCTTAATGAATCAGAAATAAAAGCCCTTTTAGAATGGGCTGATTTTAGCTGCATCCAGCAAAGGGGATTAACTTAATTCTTTTTCTTTCCTTGGCTTTTAATGCTGCTTTAATATCTGCTAGTTTGCATAATGTCAATATAGTCCTTCAAGAGCCTCCATTTTGTTTGAAATTAACATATCTTTTTGCCCTGGTTCTCTTTTAGTTCAGGCAACTGTAGTCCTTGCTTTGGGAGCAGAAAGATCTGAGTTCCGCCCACCTGAGATTTATGTTGCCACATTACAGATCACAAGGCTCCTCATTCTGCTCCAACTAAACCCCATGGGAGAGTCTGTAATACCAGTGTCCTAGGTGTTAGAGACAAATGACAAACCAGGAAACTCTACACTAGGGATTGAGAAGGGTTATTTTATACATTTTTGCTCAGTATCTTTTTGTTTAACACTAAGGATTCTGCAAATAAAATGAACCCAAATGTATATATCTTTGGACTATCATTTTCTTTTATACCTGATGACTTTTACAAACCACCCACCTTTAGCTGAGAGTAAAGAAACTAGGTAATTCCTTTAGCTGTACAGGAACCTGGCTGGAGTAGGAGAGAAATGACACCTCACTTGAGATGAAAATGTTAGTTATATTATCTCATTAGCCTCCAAGACTGCACTCAGTCTTTGCTTCCTCCTTGATCTCAGCCTCCCTTCAGTGGAGATGATGAGAGGACAACCCTTTGCAGTGTTCTCAGGGCTGAAGTCACCTGTCCAAAGTTCCTACCAGCCAAAGCCACCTCCATAAACAGCCTGGTGAGGAGAAAGAATATTCATGCCTTAGTCCCTCACCTCAGCTTTCCCATCCAGACTGGTAGGCCTTTGACCTCTGGGTGACCCCAGTCCACCTGCAGACCAACACCCACTGTCTTCAGCTGTCTACGGGAAGGAAAACATGTTGGAGGAGAGAATGAGAGTTTGGGCCCTCAGGTATCGTGGATTACAATGAATCTTCTCTGTGGAAGTCAGGTTCCCAGCTAGGGTTGCCAACTGTCTAATTGCACAAACCCAAACACCCTTGCCCCGTCCCTTCCCTGAGGCCACGCCCCTGCCCCGCTCCTTCTCTGAGGCCCTGCCCCTCGCTCACTCTCCCCCACCCTCATTCACTTTCACTGGGCTGGGGCAGGGGTGTGAGAGGGGGTGCAGTGTGCGGGCTCTGGGAGGGAGTTTGGGTGCAGGGGGGGTAAGGGGTGCAGGCTCTGGGAGGGAGTTTGGCCGCGGGAGGGGGTGTGGGGTGCAGGTTCTGGGAGTTTGGGTGAGGGGTGCGGGCTCTGGGCTGGGGCAGGGGGTTGGGGTGCAAGTGGGGATGAGAGGGGCAGCGCTTACCTCGGGCAGCTCCTGAAAGCGACCAGCACATCCCTCTGGCAGCAGCTCCTAGGTGGTGGGGGGAGGGGAAGGGGTCTCCAAGCTCTGCCCCTGCCCACAGACACTGCCTCTTCAGCTCCCATTGGCTGCAGTTCCTGTCCCGATTTTTCACACTTGCTGTCTGGTCACCCGATCAAGAACACAGCAGGCTATGTAGGCAAAGTGGATGGAGGAAAGCTGGGAATTGAAAAAGTGTGAGAAGAAAGGAACATTCTTAAATGGATGTTCTTAAACTTCCAAATTAAGCCTTCAAAATAAAAGTTACAAATTAAAAGCATCCACAAGCAAGTGATAAAATCCTGGGCTATCTTTTCTCATTTCTGTTTGAATATGCGTCTATATGTAATAGATCTAATTTCAAATTATATTACACTGTTAAAAGATACATTTAAAGAACATAAAGTTTGCAAAGTCAAGCACTCAAAAGTTAGGAAATGACAAAACAGAGGTTGCCTGCGCAACCTTCAGTCACCTCCCAGTCCATATGCATTATGATACTGTCCTTAATTACATGATCACATACTACTTTTTCCACAGGACCTTGCCTTATTCAGTGCACAGGATGGACAGTGTGGACAGTGCTCTGGGAGTGAACTAGGGGTGTGTCTGTGGTGAATGATACTATTGTAAGGAACCCCAGCCTCCTTTGTTGCAGTAGTTGGAACTGAAAACAGGGTCTTATAATGGAAAGTGGCTGGCACCCTGAAGTACAGGCAGACTACTCACTCCTCTGATAATAAAATCCTGTGAACGCTCAATATTAGGGTGATGAGATCATTCAAATGAAAAATCAAGACCTTTCGCAGATTATCATCAAAGAGATGAGATACTGCATGTGGGAGGAGGGGTTTTGGGGGAACAAGTGTTTGTCCTAGGCTGTGTGGAAAGGCCTTTGTAGCTGCAGGATGTGAAGGATGCTTGTCCTGCGGTGTATTTGGAGGACTCTGGCAGCTGGAGGATGAACAGGAATGAGAAGCTTTGGAAGCTGGGAAAAGACAGGTCTGAGAGGCCTGGAATGATTTCACAGCTGGGGTGGAGGAAAGGGGTATTTGTCAGGGATGTACTCCCTTTCATCTTCAGCTATGCTAGCCCTAGTTTGTTTTGGAGCAAATATAAATCTTATACAAAAGCAAATTTCCAATCCTCTCAGTTAACAGAACAGCCAAGCAGAGGCTATACAGTAAAACCCTTCAACCGCAATACAGCGTTTGCTATTAAGACATTTAATCAGATGTGGTCCTTGCCCAAATGAGTGTGATGAGATTTGCTTCCTTTTAATCCTGTCATTGTAGGGAAAATTCCATCATGAACTGCTATCTTTTATCTTACCTCTCACATTTCTTTTTTTATAGGGCCAGATTAAGAGGAAACCAGTTTCCTTACCCTCATTTGTGCAAGGTTAAACATCTTTATGGCAAAACATTTTGAGAGGTTGCCACCTTTTGGTTAAAAAATAAAGCACCTCTCCAGCTCCATAAATCAGTAATAACTGGAGTATTTGAGAACAATCTAGTGACTGTGAGTGTGCATTTTCCAATTATAGCAGGAGAAATTCCAAGAGCCAGGAAGAGGAGCTGAACTGAAAATCACAACTACTCCTGCTGAGTGATGACTTGTTCTGTGGATCTGGTCAACATCCCATCAATTCCCCCTTTGAATTGTTGTTAAAAAACTTGCACCTTTGGAAAAATGATCTGAGGCTTGTGTTTACTTAGAACCCGTTTTGCTCCTTCCCATTGAAACAGATAAGAGTTTTGCCATTGCTTTAAGTGGGATTTGTTGTTGTGACGATTGTATCATTGTCATGATACAGATCCAGACCCTCAAAGGCACTTGGGCACCTAATTCCCATTGAAATCAGTAGGAATAATTGCATAAATACCTTTGAGGAGCCAGGCCACAGTCCCTAAGGTTCTAATGAGGCAGCAGAAGGACACTAGTCCACATTTCCACCATAACCATACAGTGGTATCTGACATACCATAGTTTTCTCCTATTTTGAATAGGAGATAATTATGGTAACTTGTGTCTTTAGCAAATGTTGACTTTTAATGATGTTGGTAATAAAATTTACCTTTTAACTTGCATTTTTCATCAGCAGATCTCAAGTCATTTTTCGGAGGAGCGTAAATATCATTCCATGAGTCTAATGGCATGAAAACTGAGAGGTCTGCCATGGGTTATAGCTCACATCCACAGCTTACCAAACCACTGAGAATGATTAGAAGAAATACATTTGTCACTGACTGTGACTTTGTTAAGATGGCAAATTAGACAGTGACATCTTGTATTACTAACTGAGAGCAACACACAAATAACATAGGAATAGAAGTGACTAACAACAGTGCAATTATTCAGATTTGTGGATGGAAAATTTTACAGAAGCTCGAAATGCACCAATGAAAGAAAATGTCACTTAATCTGAGTCTATTTTAGTAACAAACATTCTGAGATATACCTTATTTGGCAATTTATATGCAGGGGATTTACACCAGAGATGAAACTGGCCTCAGGATACCTATTTATAATTGTTTTAATTAATCCAATGAATTAAAAAATAAAATTTTCAAGTTTAAAATGGAAAGCAAACGTCCCACTCAATTTTGCCCTTCTTTGTCAATGACTGGTTCCAGAAGTCCCTCATTTTAGCTAAGCAATAGCTATTATGGTGCAGGGTATTGTTGAAGATTGGTGATTGGATTGATTGCCTTGACTGCATATCAAGCCATTAGACCCAAAGGTTCACTCATCAAAAGACTATGGGATTTGGGTGGATCATGGCAAGAAACTGTGAATGGCTTCTGGATCACAAGTGGGAAAAGGCTGAGAATTACTGCTGTAATCTATTACTTTTAGAATCCTGCCAGCAGAAGGTCAATTAACAAATTCACTTTGCCAAAGGCATCTTTCCTGTGGTCAAAATTATGGTATAATATACAAAGATCAGCACTGGGACAGATAATTTTCAAAGCTGTCTCTTCAAAGGCCTCCCACACTGAGGATGGAGACAATTACCATAAATATTCTGACAGGTTTCAGAGTAGCAGCCGTGTTAGTCTGTATCCGCAAAAAAAGATGCCACAAGTCCTCCTTTTCTTTTTGTAAATATTCTGGTATTTAGGATCTATGTCTGTTTCTAGTTTCCCTGCTTTACTATGTTTACTTACAGGTTTCAGAGTAACAGCATGTTAGTCTGTATTCGCAAAAAGAAAAGGAGTACTTGTGGCACCTTAGAGACTAACCAATTTATTTGAGCATAAGCTTTCGTGAGCTACAGCTCACTTCATCGGATGCATACTGTGGAAAGTGTAGAAGATCTTTTTATATACACACAAAGCATGAAAAAACACCTCCTCCCACCCCACTCTCCTGCTGCTAATAGCTTATCTAAAGTGATCACTCTCCTTACAATGTGTATGATAATCAAGTTGGGCCATTTCCAGCACAAATCCAGGTTTTCTCAACTGGAATTCATTTGCAAATTTGATACAATTAACTTAGGCTTGAATAGAGACTGGGAGTGGCTAAGTCATTATGCAAGGTAACCTATTTCCCCTTGTTTTTTCCTACCCCCCCCCCCCCCCGACGTTCTTGTTAAACCCTGGATTTGTGCTGGAAATGGCCCATCTTGATTATCATACACATTGTAAGGAGAGTGGTCACTTTAGATAAGCTATTACCAGCAGGAGAGTGGGTTTGTGGGGGGGGGGAGGGTGAGAAAACCTGGATTTGTGCTGGAAATGGCCCAACTTGATTATCATACACATTGTAAGGAGAGTGATCACTTTAGATAAGCTATTAGCAGCAGGAGAGTGGGGTGGGAGGAGGTGTTTTTTCATGCTTTGTGTGTATATAAAAAGATCTTCTACACTTTCCACAGTATGCATCCGATGAAGTGAGCTGTAGCTCACGAAAGCTTATGCTCAAATAAATTGGTTAGTCTCTAAGGTGCCACAAGTACAACTTTTCTTTTTATGTTTACTTACGTCTGTCTATCAGTAAATCTGACCTCACAGGAAACAAAATGACCACATGAGATAAAGTTTGCAATAAAGAAGACAGTGTTATCTAATGGTTAAAATTTGAGTTTGGGAGTCAGTACTCCTGAGCTGGTAAAAAAACAAAAACAGCTTCACAAAAAAATTAAAAAGTTCAAAGTTGTTTTCATTTAGAAATACTAAAATCCGACCCATTTTTCATTTTTAATGCAGCATTATTTTACTGGAAATAACTTTTAGCAAAAGAATTACTGAAAATATTATCAAAGTTCTTGCTGAAATTTTTCATTTGGCCAAAATCCAGTTTTCAATAAATATTTTTTTTCATTTATTGCAAACCCAGTGTTTGGTAAACGAAAAATCTCAGTAATCACTTCAGTAACATTTCAATTTAAAAAAACGTAATGAAAGATTTTGGAAAACCTGAAAAATTTCAATTATGTAGAAATTTGTTGTTACAAATGTAATATTAAGAAAAAAGGCATATTTTTAAAAAATGTAAAAACTATCAACCTGGTCTATTCCTGGATTTTCTATTCTTGACTCTGCAACTGGATCAAGTCACAGCTTCTGTCTGTGCCTTAGTTTACTCTACTGCAAAATACATTTATTAATGTTGTGAAGCTTAACATTTATTTGTAAAGCACTTTGAGATCCTTATAAGAAAGGTGCTATAATATTGTATGTGCAAAGGGTTGTCATTCTAGCTTAAATGGTGAAAATCCAAGAAACCTGGAACTAGAGCTAGATTCTGTTGTGCCAATGAATATAATATATCAATTACCCACCCAATCACTATTTTGGGTGGATCCTATCAACAGCAAAACTTAGCAATAACAATGTGATTGAGCGTTTCAGCCTTAACTATGATTCTTTCTGCTTTTATTAGTTTCAACCAAACTTTTAATATTGTTTTTACTTATAAACTTAGTTTTTATGAGGTAATTTCCTTCTCTTTTGTTAGTTTTGGGAATAAAAACCCTTGAAGTGTAAGAAAAGCTGAGTTTCTGAAATATACAGGACTTGATTCTCATTTACACTGAGGCCACTTCATGCTGCCAGAGTGGTATAAAAGACAGCTAGTGTAGAAAAGATTCACACCAATAATTGTCAACAGTGCCACTACTGTTCTTTCAGAGCAGATGTGACTAATATAGATTTTTCCCACAGGACCAGAGTCAGATTCTACCTCGGAAAATGAGAGTGCTATTTCAGTTAAAGTCAGTAGGGCAGATTGACTTGATTGAGGCTATGACACATACACCATCTGAGGAACTGCCTCAAAGTGACTGATCTGCACATATAAGTGGCAGAATTTAGCCATAGATCTCTGGGAAAAATCAATATACTCAACACCATATCCACTTTGTAGCCCTGTGTTCCTGGGATCATAAAGTTCTATGTAGAATATATTCAAAATACAAGCTGGTCATCAAAATTTAAAAGATTCAGACACTATAAAACTTGTAAATTCTGACCAGTTGCGTTAAACCTATACAGTGCTGGAACTGTCAGTGTTTGCAACTGACCTTTTCCAATGCACCATGGAATTTCTGTATACGTATTTTTAATCATGTAAATAGCAAGAATAATGTGAACCAAATTTACATTTCATGCCATGCCTGAAACTAATGTTGCCCTGGATGTACAGTATATAAGCCATTCAAAGAATAATGAGTTACATTACTGTTTATGGAAGCACATATATAGAAAACAAAAATTACTAAATAAGATCATCAGCTGATGCAAATAGGCCATTAACTTCAGTTACAGCCCTCTGTCTACCCCCTGCTGACTGGAGATTGGTGGGAGAGAGAGAAATATATCTTTATCTGTTCAGACTATAATTTTAGGAGGTGCTCAGATACCATAGTTATGGGTGCTATATTAACTAGATAAAGGTTTTTTGAAAATTACTCAGAACATGGATTTCTGAGATGAATAATTTAAAGGTGACCTGCAAGATAAAAATAACTTTATCAGGATGTACCAAATGCTCCTGATAACACCTAGGGATATGATGCATCTTCTGGGTCAAGGGAATTCACATTCATGCAGTCTCTCATGAACCCACACACAGTAAATAGAGCTTAAAGAACCTTGCTAATTCCAGTTTGAGTTGTCCTTTTATCATATCAGGATTGAGTTTCACATTGTTCTAATTGCTCAAAAGTGTGAAAGAAAAAAAAAGTTACATTTTAGGCAATGTGCTAAGTAACTGTTGACTTATATGGAACATTTATCTTATTATTAGAAACGTTCATAATTTATTATTTACATTTTTATTTAATGTTATTATGCCGGTTTTAAGCACTTGCTGTGTGCTTGAGCTTTAAGTAGTGTAGAACTCACTATCTCTGCTTCAGAAAGCTGTAATGGCAAAATTATTAGAATCAGTGTTACTTTTTCAGGTATTCTATAAGAAATTAAAAATTTAATATTAAGTATTAAATATTTAACAATAGTTCAAATGGAAGTTATCTTCAAATGTCATAACAGGGACCAGCAGAGGGCGCCATGGTCTTCTTTTCTGTAGAGGGTTATTTGAAAATTAATTATCGTGCCCTCAGGGCTAATTTGGTGGGTGACTGATGCTATTGTGTCACACGGGACTGTTTGTTGTACTTTGCTCTCAGGCATATTTCCTGTGTTCAAAGTTACGGCACAATTAGAAGCAGGCCTCAGTTTTCAAACCGCTTCTTCAAAGGCTCTGCATCCACAGGAGGGAAATAATTGTTGCAAAAATGCTGGGACTCAGGATTGATACTTACTGTCTCACATTTATTAATGCAGGCCTGCCAGTAAATCCGACCTTATCAGAAAGCAACAGAATTCTTCTACCATTACATCTTCACCTTAAAAACAAAGACCATATATCTTTCTTGTGCTCTTCTCTGTGTATTTCTGCCAGTTGTTATGCCCATGACTATCATGAGCTGGGTGGCTTTATCTGAGTTCTCCTTTTGCTTAAAATGCTGAGCATTAGAGAACACACAGCTTCAGTTTGGAGACTTACTGAGAAACTCTTTGACTGAAAACAAGTGTTCAGTTTGGGAGAAAGCATGATCTAGTGTGTTTCGTAAAGTCACTTCTTGGTGTCTCAGTTCCATTTCCAGCTCTGTCCCTGATTTGCAGTGTGACTGACATGTTTTGTGTGCATGTCACTTATGACCTCTTGGTGCTTTCATTTTTCATCTGTAAAGTGGGAATAAT